TGTAATAAGAATTTGGGGTATCAGATGACCAAAAATAAACGTCCATTATAGTTCATACCTTTTGTTTCCGATAATGAACATATTTCCCTTTTTGCATACTTAAGCTCAAAAAAATTAAAAAGCCCCTGTCTAACATGGTGCCGCTTTCACTCACAACCTGAACTCCTCTCCCATCTCTACAGATGGGTAGGACCAAGGCCTGTTTATTTCCTGCATCCAGTGCCAGGTCTAGTGGGTGATTTCCAGTCCATTCCTCCTCTGCTTCTACCAGATGGAGGTGTGATTATATTCCTTATTTGGATATTGTCTGTAAATCACCTCAAGGGATGGAAGAAAATTTGCAAGTGAGTGATTAGGTGTAAATGTGAACTATTTCTCTTCACTTTTGCCCCTTAGTTCCTAAGTCTGAGTGTTCTTTCTGGTTGTGGGTGAAGCAGCACCGTGGAGTGGTGGTTCTTTGAGAGTGTGAAGATCCCATGGGGCTGCAGTTCACCTTCCCAAGATACTCTCTCAGATGACACCGTAATTGGGTCTTCAAAAGGCCAGTAAAAATTCTGGAAGTCCGGCAGCTTCCAGATAATGGAGTACTGGGAGACCAAGGAATCCCATTGTCCTTGGAAGTTCTGTTAATTTTTTTTTCCCTGTAAATTGAATATCTTGATCAAAGGCACTGGTGTGTAGAATACCATGATTGTGCCTAATATATGGATAGGAAGCTGGTAGAATCATGGCGGGAGGGCAGTGGAAGAAGCATAACAAAATCCATAGCACTGCTGTTTCAGTGAGTATAAAATTCCGCCTCCACCACGAGGGAAGGAGTATCATCATCTTGCCACTGGGTGACTGGCTCATAGCCCCATAGATGGCGCCACATCACTTATTTACTTTTGATGCTGTTGCTGCAAATTGGTACATGGCATTTCCAGTAATCCTGCTAATCTGAGAAAGGGGAAGTCCAGTTGGTGAGCCTACCTGTGGTTTTTATTCCTAAACCATTGCTGGTTTATTAGTCCAGTGAACAAGTGCTGTAGAAGTTGGGGTGAGGGGCAGGCTGGTTAACATACATAGAGCAAAATCTAGAAAGAGATAAACTAACAAGGTAACATAACACCTAATACATAGCAGGCAGCTCAGGTCACTGGGTCACCTAGTATACCACTGTTTACTTTTTATCCAGGGCTTAGTAGCAAAACTAGAGCTGTTCCTCAAAAGATAACATTGGTTTGCCAAAGAGAGCATGATCTTGCTCCAAGATTCTAAGGGACTCCTGTGGGTTTTTTTCTTCCTAGTGGGACTTGCCACTAGTGTTATACAGAACTCTGAAATTGCACAGGCCCTTGAGTTACCATTGGATCAACCGGGTCATTAAAGCCAAGTTGTAGAGCTGCTTGTACCAACACTTGAACTAGCTGGATAGCCTTTTCTTTTGCGGAGCTGAAGCCAGAGCTGGCAACGTTTGGGGGCATTCAGTAAAATGGGTTGGAGCCACATAAAAAGTCTCACTAAGCACTGTTTCCCTATTTGTATTTGAGACTGCAAAGAAAAGCAATTTGTCATTTACTTTGCAGGAGTATGCAGTGATCCATACGGATTAATGGACCAAGATTCTTCACCAAAGAAACAGGGTCCTCTATTTTCATGGAATTTATCTTCTATCTACTGGCATACTTCCATCCTTCCAAGGCATCTAAGAGTGCATGTTGCTTCGTGCCTTTCAGATCCTAAAAGCACATGTAAGCAGTGTGTTGGACTAGCGTAGTGTCCCACTGGAGGAGAGGATCAACAACCTTGACACCTAACTTGTAATACGGAGATAAAGAGTATATATAACCCTAAGATAAGACTGTGAAGGCTCTACGCCATCCCATCCAGTTGAAAACAAACTCCTTCTCGTGTTTTCTACTTTTTAGGATAGAGCAAAAAGTATTTACCGTATCAGCAGGTTTATACAAGTATCAGCAGGTTTATACAGGGTGCCAGAGATTGTGACGATCTGTTCTAGTAAATAGATCACATTTTGAGGAGCACTGCAGTTGGAGTCACCATTTGAATAAGCTTTTGCTGGCCATCATAACTCTTTGCCTTCTGCATCCTCCAGCCAGGCCAGTTAAATGGGAATATGGGAATAGGGGAGGCTTCACCCTGCTCAGCTTGTCAGGTCTTCGGAGGCCTTTCTGAGCAGTACACAAGAATAGGTGTTGCTCCTGGTTTTCTGTTTTGTTGGAGTATTGTGCCCTCACGGGCTCCCGGTTATCTCTTCCTTTGCATATAAGCCCTCACTCAGGGAGAAAGGGTGAAAATGGGTTGCTGAGTGTATCTGTTTACAAAAACCAGGGAAATAACCACTTGGTAGACTTAGGCTCCTTCCCACTGGGCCTATCAGAAGCATGTCTACTTAAATTTTTTAAGGGCGGAACAGTTTTATATAGCGTTCATACAGTAAAGTTATTTATCCTTTCCAGGATTGATATTCTTTTCAATCTTTCTTTTGCTATTCATGTTTTCAGTGAATATTATCAATTTTTAAAGTTCCTGTTCCTGGCCGATTTTTGTACTGGCTTGTCTGACCTTTTCTCAGTTATTTCTGATTCTTTCTACATGATGGACATTGCTCCTGCCTATGTCTTTACCTTTTTCAAGGCTTTTGTTTGTAATTATATTATCATCTGCTTATTCTTCTTGATTTTTACCAATCTGATATGTGTTGATTATCAATGAAGTTTAATTTCTCATATTTTTTTTGCTTGTTATAATTTTAAGATGATACCTTTTACCCATTTTTCATTGAGCTATTTTTATATTTCCAGTTTATAGGATTCTTTTCTATATTAGGGATATTAACCCCTTTACTCATTATATGCTGCAGGTATTTTCTCCCGTGTACACACACACACACGTTACTTATATATATTTGTAATGTAGATACATATTTTTCATGTAGTATTTTAAAATTTTGTGTATATTTTGCCAGTTTGATATATTTTCCTTCATGGTTTTTAGTTTTATATCATACTTGGATAATATTTTATACCTCATGCCAAGATCATAAATAAGACTGTGTAATAAATACATTTTTATAGTTTTATGTAGCAGTTTAATAGTTTCTTATGTTAATAATTTATTACAGATTTATTTTACTTCATGAGGTAAGCTAGAGTTCTCTGTTTTAACCCCCAAGTGGTTAGTCAGTTTTCCTGGTGTCATTTATTGAGCCATCTATTTTTTTTTTCACTTATTGTGACCTTTTTTAAAAGACAAGAGCCCTCTAGATATGTGATAAATGCCTGCATCAGTTTGTCTTATCAACATACTTTTTTTGAAAATAAAAGCTTTAAACCCCATAAGGTAGCCCAAGAAAATCTGTTGAGGTTAAGAAGGAAATATGTGACTAATTGGAAGCCGCCATGTTATAAAACAGCAAACAAAATTCCTCCACCTCACAAAAGAAAAATCTGTTACCGAAAAGAACTGCAAAAAGAAATTCCTTTGTAGGTAGCTGAATGGTTAACAGTTGCTATATGATTCCTCTCCAGTATTTATATTTTTCATCTTTGACTTGAAACCAATATTTATTACATCATCCTCAGTGAAAAAAAGTTATCCTGTGTTTCAGAATACAGTCATTCCTTTGATCCCATAAATAAATAGTGACTATTTAAAAGCATTTAAACTGTATAAATAAACGGTTATTTTAAATGAAAAGAATGGGTGGGTTGAATCATTTTTCTCTAGTTCTTGGAAGTGTGAAAGTTGCTTACTTTGAGATGGATTTTCAACTTGTTTCTACTTGACATTTTATTTGTGTATATAAATGCGTAAAACTAGGACCTCCCCTTTTGTAAAGAGCCCCTTTTTTTTTAATTACAGTGGTCATAGACTTCTGAGTGGTGAACTTAGCATGAAATATTTAAAACCTACAGAAGAGTAAAAGTATAGTACAGTGAATTTTTTATATACCCTTTACCTGGGTTCACCAGTTGCTGACATTTTTCAACTTTTGTTTAGTCTCTCTCTCTCCAGCTTCAAATTCAGGTTTTTCCAGTTGTCTGCACAACTTTTTTATAGTTTTTGTGGGTTTATCTTTTTTTTTTCCCTGATTCAGAATCCAGTCAGTTTTAGTGTTCTGTGTTTTTTAGTTCTTTAATTTAGAAAGCTTTCCTGCTTTCATACTTTTTTTTTGTTGACATTGACATTTTAAAAAGTACAGGCCAGTTGTTTTGTAGATTATCCCATAATTTAGATTGGTCTGATTTCTTTCTCATGATTAGATTTGGGTTAAATATTTTGGCAAGAAAAATACATAGGTCATATTGTGACTTTCTTGTTGCATTATGTCAGGAGGCTCATAATGCTAGTTTGTACCATTGGTGGTCCTAAATTTGATCATTTGTTTTATAAGCAACAGATTTATCTTCGATAAAGTTAACTCAAAGTAGTGACATCTGTGTGATGATAATTTGAGGTCATGTGAGTATCCCCATGGTTTTAGCATCCTTTGATCTTTGCTTGAATCACTTATTACATAGTTGAAAAATAATTTTTCTAATTTTGTTATTCCCCCTTCATTTATTAACTATAATTCATTCACCTTATATCCCAGTGAACTATGTAATTGTAACAATTATTTTCCTTACAATTTTTATGCCGGTAGAGTTACGTGAAAGTCCATGTGCCATTGTACTAAATGTTCTGATGGAATAGGGAAGACGATAATATTTTTGGCTCATAATTGCCGTTTCACATGGTAAGGTCCCCACACAAAACTCTTGAAAATAAATCCATTGTCTCTAATCTTGAGTTTTAATTAATTTAATTAATCTTGAAAATTAGTCCATTGTCACTAATTAGATTTGAATAAACCATTTCTTTTTTGTTTCTCAACTAATACTTCCTATATTTATCTCTGTTTTTCTGTCTTTTTCTAACTGTCCTATTGTTTGTATTAATTTCTATTGCCCTAACATTTGTAACAATTACACATTTATTTTCTATCATAATAGCTGCGGAAATACAGAGGACTCTGAATCAACTTGGAACACCTCAAGATTCACCTGAATTGAGGCAGCAGCTGTAAGTATTAATTAAACAACAAAAAGGAAATGGGAAAACCCACCTATTGTTATGTTCCTTTGATAGTGTGTAGTGTTATGTTTATTGGAGAAAACAGTGGAAAATTAATAAGGTTTTTCTGCTGCTACCTCATTTGTACTAAGCTTTTGTGTAGGTTTTTTCCTGTCCAGAGTGGGCAGATGTTTTTCTTTATTTTAAAGATCTGGCTTACTCTATCAAAGCAGAACTTGTTTGGTTAGCTTTTTTATACCTTTTAATAGGTTGTTTTTGATGGCTTTGAAAAACGGTACTCTGAGCTTCTCTATCTGTGTGATTCACTTCCCATAGCTAACAATCCATATGATGATTTTTATTTCACTTAGATTCAATGCATATCCAATATGAACTATGCCCCTAAAAGTTCATGTTTACATCTTTGAATTTCAGAAAGCATTAGCCTCTGTTTAAAAAAAAAAAGTTGTAATGAAGTTATCTAGTACATATTTGAATAAATTAACATGCTATTAGAAAAACAGCAATAATACTACGTGGTGTTACAGATTTTACAGAGTGTTTTTACACATTTTCTCATCTGAACCTTACAAAATTGGAGTGAGCTAGATAGATTAAAAGAACTATTTCCATTTTGCTTATAAGGAAAACATGTCTGTCTGGGGTTTGATGATTTGCCCAACATTATTCTGAACCTGAATCTTAAATCTTAGTTCAGCACTGTTAACAGCTACAAATTTCAAGTAATATATATGTAATAAGTGATATGCCAAACATTAGCTACAGAAGGAAAAATTTGCAAAGAAGAAATTAAGAGATAGGTAATAGTAATTCATATTTTTATGAAGTACAATTTGAGGAATTTGCAGTTGTTTCTAATTTGTATTGCATTTTTCTGCAGTGGATAGATATCAAGGAGCTAAACGTGCCCCAAATCTAAATAATAAACCATCATTTATTAAAATAAAGTAAAATGGAATAGAAACCATAATTCTTAATAGTTAATAATATTTTGCTAAGGTTAATAGTGGAGATTCTGAATATGTAGACATTAAAATCTTCTTTTAGAATTTTAATTATATTACTTTTTCTAAAGATTTTTTAAAGGCATATTAAAGATAGGGCACTTGGTAAATATATAAAAGTAGGGTATAATTCTTCCTTATCAGTCAAATACAGATATCTATACTAAAACATATTTTTACATAGTATCTCATTATTTTAAAGGATCCTAAGTGTGACCAATACATGTTTAAAATGAGAGATAATATATATGAGAAGTACTGATGTTGTGACTTGTAAAGCATCACATTAATACAGGCTTTTTTTTAGTGTTAATTTCTTTAGTTAGAGATCTTAGTTTTTACTTTATAAGCTAGCTAACAAGATAGATATAAATAGCTATATAATTTACCTCTTTTACTCTGTTCTGTTCTTTTTACAGAGAAGTGCTATTGTTTTTCCACAGCAAACTTAAATAATAGTAAATTCATATTATTACTCATGTCTCTGCTTTTTTTTTTTTTTTTTTTTTTT